CCATCAACTGGGAAGAAGCCCACCTCATCGCCAACATTGAACAGTGGGACCCAAGACGCATTAGAGAAGCCTTGGAAATCTCCAAGCACCCCACTGTACCTCAAGACATCGCATCAGCGATATCTGGCAGCCCCTGCTCACCTCCCGGTCTGATGGGTCCTCTATACCCTAAGACTCCTCCCCCCCCGCCCAGGGTCCCTTATACCCAGGCAAATTTCCCCCACCACAGCCCATGACCAACTGACATGCATCAGTACCCAAGAGGATCCACCGTTCCACCTGACCACACAGCAGGATCCGTCACACTCCAGTACTTCCAACCAGCATATAAGCCCCACTCCCTGTCGGCATCTCTTCAGTCTCCTGACAACGGACAGAGCACACTGTCCGAAACGTTGAGCCTCTCCGGTTCTTATCAGAACCACACAGACTCAAAAAGAGATATTGCATGGTGCATCTTAGACACTGAGTTTGTAATCTTCATCAGTCAAAACTGGCGGCAGGTTGTGGGTTTGAGTCCAGCGAGGGGTCATATGGTGCATGTGACCTTGGGGAAAGCACTTTGCCACAAATTGCCTCTCTTGACCCAGGTGTATAAATAGGTACCTGTGACGGCAGGGCAGAGATGTTTGTTGTGATTAAATTAGCTTCGTTGCACCTAACAGGCTGCATCAAGCTGTAGATACTCCTCAGGGAGCTGGGATGGTATTTGGAATGTTTCATGGACCAGGTGATCAAGGGTGTTACTTTGGTACCGAACTGCGCTACACTGTGGATGTAAGAATGCAGCACACTTTCAGGACTCATGAACTGCTAACAAACCACTGGAACGCAGTATAATATTGTTCAATAGGCACAGCACACACTTAGGCTGCCTTCATTGCAGCCTAGTGTACATAACACTTCATCTGACTGAGTTTAGCGTTCCCTAGCCCAATTATATCTAATGTTGCTCATGTTGCTAGAAACTGTGCTTGTAGTCTGTAACTCACATTCCATGGTGGTAACTTGCGTTACATGGTAACTCGCGTTATACTTTTGGAAGGCCTTTTTTGACCTAATGGCAGTGTTTATTTTGGCAAACATTTTGTAACAGAATCAAGGTGTACTAAATTTAGAAAATCTTCATTGCCAACAAATTATCTCTACTGATTTCCTTAGAATGAAAAATATTTCTTGTTTAGGTAACTCGTGTTACATGGCTGAAGTGCTTAACTCTTTGTGTGATGATGAAATATTTTGGAAGGTGGTGTCAAAATTTCCTCTTGGGAGATTGAAGTAAACCCAATTTGCTTCTCTAAACTGATTGAAAACAGTGCTAGGCATATTTTCACCATTTAAGAAATTTAAATTCAAATTTAGTTAAGCATGTATTTTAGCAGTTTTGATGAATACAAAAAGTCTCAGTAGTGTTTTAGCTATATTTTGCAAAATATTCCAACAATTGATGTAATTCTTCTTCTTCCTTTAACTTCAGCGTATGGGTAAAACATAATTACTAACTTTGTTGCAGTGTGATGAACTTGAAATTTTAGTGTCATGTCCACCTTGCCATGGAATTGCCCTTCTACAGTTTTCTGCTTCTTCGATGATCTATGCAATATGGGGAAATCTGTTGCATGATAACAAGTACGATTTTCATGGAGGAGGACTGGCTTGCCGTGTAACACGCAAGAATTGCCCAATGGGCTTTTCGAATGAATAGACGCTGACAAACGCAAAAGA